GTGAGTGTAATGTTTACTGTTAACTTTTTATTGTTTATTTCACATTTGTTTATTATCCATTTCACTTGCTTTGGCAATGTAAACATATGTTTCCCATGCCAATAAAGCCCCTTACATTGAATTGAATTGAGAGAAAGAGAACACTGACTCCATACTTTTATTTGAGGATGTAATAATGATATATGATGATTTGTTTGTATAGGGGCAAGTACTGCATATCTGAACACATCAAACTGAACCAGGTCAGGTCAAACGTGGTCAGAGTAGCCTACAGAGTGCCCCTTTTCAAGTGACTAATAAATGCTCTAAAATCCCCTTTGATGTCTGTTCTAGATGAATTATTCCTGCTACTTTTGAACTTGTTCCAAATCTCTTGGCCAAACAAGTAGCATACCCTTGAATGACTAAGGTTGGCTAAGTGTATTGTGCTCAGAAGTGGCATTAAGTCTATAGATAAGACCTAGTCAAATACAGCACACTGGACAGGAGGAATGCTTATCTGTGCCAGGAGAAATTGGTGGAAGTGTTACTCTTAGACTGGAAAATTATTAGAATAAGGGATGTTTTACTGCGTGATGTTTACAAATGAATTCATCTACATTATCCTTCACTTTGGACTTTCCAATTGAAGTCCGACTTCATACTACAGGCCCCTCATAATAACTCATGTCTAGACTTGCATATCACTGAGTGGCAAGGTTATGTCTATACAGACATTCCTTTGTCAGCTATGAGTTACAAGCTCATCATTTCAACATTATTTAAAGCAGCAATCATAAGTAGAAAAAATAACAAAGGAGATTCCCACCCCTGTTTTGGTAAAAAGCTTAGGGATGGAGCTGGAGAAATGTAATCACTCTCAAATGTATAGACAGAGCTATGGATGCAAGGACTGACCATTAATGATATCAACATTATAATTTTAACCATGTGTTGAGGCTATATAGCTTTTGTTTACAAACATTGGTGTAAACAAGCTTATATTTTGGGTTCTGATGTGGTATGACAGTTCAACTAAGCTCATGAGGCATTTATAAGTTATATTCTTTAAGTATCAATGGATACATATCCAAAAATGGATGTAGCAACAGCTGATTGCCCCTTTAATGTGCGTTCTTTTGTAAGACTTTATTCAAGCAGAAAGACCAAGTCTCTGATAAACTATCATTTTTTAAGTAAACTAAAATCTGTATTTATGACAATATCATAAGAATAAGCAATCATTCGTATTACAGTCCACAACTCAATTTGCCATAACGACAACATTGTTAAAACTGCATTAGTTAGAAACCAATGTTTGTAAACACTTAAGGATACAGAAAGCGTAAAGTGCTTACCTAAAGATAAAGTCGTCGTCTTGTAGCAGAAACCACACAATTCCAAGTGGTCTATGCGTGATACAACGCGAACTCATAAAGTTTTAATTTCGTTTCATATAGTTTTGCATCATATCGTATAGTTTCATTGTTTTGAAGTTTCATTCTTGCCAAAACGTCTCCATTGCACAACTCCAGTTCAGTTCTGTACACCTCACTCAGGCTCAACCCTCTCCCGGCAAAACACTGCAGTGCGAGTGCAAGGCTCGAGCGAGTGCTAACTTCTAGGTCACATGACCAGTTCTGGAACTTGTTCATGCACTGATGGGGATGTTGGACGACTATTTCACAGACCTACTATTTATTCTTCATGTACTGTAGGCCTATAAACATACAATTATTCCACAGCTTTTAAGATTTATACATTTATCAATATAGTGGGAGATTAGAACATCTGCAGTACATTGGTGTAAAATGCTGAAACAAACACCCACAAAGACTTTCAATCAGAAGGAGCCTACTGTGTCAAATACATGACTATCACTACAACTTATAACTCAGCTACCATATGTCCATAAACCTTATTCAACCTTTGTCCACATATAATATATAATAATAATAATATAATATGCCATTTAGCAGACGCTTTTATCCAAAGCGACTTACAGTCATGCGTGCATACATTTTTTTTGTGTATGGGTGGTCCCGGGATCGAACCCACTACCTTGGCGTTACAAGCGCCGTGCTCTACCAGCTGAGCTACAGAGGACCACTCACATGAATTCCTTCCTTTGGTGTTCTCATCCTACAGATTTTCCAATGAACACTTGTCAGGTCTCCCTTGTAAAAGAGGTCTTCTGACCTCAATGGGTCTTTCCTGGATAAATAAAGGTTCAATAAAAAACACATATTAACAATGTAGAAACTATTGTATTGTATGTAAATCTGTTTATTGCAAGAAGACCCCTGGGAGCAAAATATGACCGAATCCCTCCTAAACACAGAGTACTAAGAGAGACTACGTTAACCAGAGGCCCTCACGAAAGAAAATGGGGATTTACAAACAATTCCAAAGACATGACCGTAAAATGACATTGGTTCTTGTTGAAAACTATTACGGAAGCAGGCCTACATTCTAAATACTGTATTTTTCCAAATAAATATGTTTGTCATAAGTTATTTAAACATTGTTTATAATAGCCTATATTCCCTTTTGATATGAACAGTATAACATAATCAAAACAGTGCCTTTTGATCATGAAATACCTTAATTAAAATGTACACACGAAAATAACCAGACTTATTATGAAGAGACATGCAGACTAACAGAAAATTCCTCTTCTGTTCACTTAAAAGTACCCAAACTGTTTTCTATGTGCCAAAATCAATAATCTTATTGTCTTACTCCCCCATTGAAAATGTACAAATACTTATACAACACACTCTGAGTCTGAGGACCATTCATGTGGCTACAAAGCATCAAAAAGATATCGGACTGGTCCTTTAATCCGGTAACCATGGCAATCCTCATAAAAGTAAGCCATAGTAGACATTCTCAGTTAGCACATCTCCACTTTTGGTTGGAACACATGCTGTGGATACAAAGCACTGATACAAAGTGGCAATACTGTTGTTGACAAAATATGTTACTGTTTTGGCTTAAATACATTAACACATCCACAATAGTTGTTGGTTTGAGGCCTTAACTGAATACCTGAGCCTGTGTTCACAAAACGTTTCAGAGTAGGGGTGCCGATCTAGAATCAGTTTAGTCTGTTAGCTCATAATGAATACCATTATTTGGACAGCTGGGACCTGATCCTAGATCAGCACTTCTACTCTGAGACTCTGTGAATACGGGGCCTGGGATATTACAAGAGTTTAAGAAGCACTGTTTTAAGAATAGATATGTTGTGCGAGTGCAAAAGGTTTGCTTGCTAGAAACTGACACCGTTATTACTAAGATATATCAAATCTAGTTCAATGGCTCCCAAATTAAATTTACTTGAATGCCCTCTGGTGGCTAAACCAGTCTAGTTAATGTGCCATGTACGGCATCTGCCAAGGTGTTCATTTTTACAATATACAAATGCTGCAATATATACTATATTTGAAATAAGAACTAAACAAAACTTATAAATTAGAAAGTTCTATATTCTTAAATATAATCAACAGAGTCAGTTTTCCCATATTTAGATGATATAACTGGTACACTGAATCTCAATAACATAGAAACAAGAACACAAAGCATTCCATTTAGAACTGGATCCACATTTTTGTCTGATACCGATAGAGCAGACATGATCTGTGAATAAATTAACCCATAAATAAATTAATCATGATTATGTCTGCTCAGTAACAGTATTTTTCATGGTCCTCCTAGGGAATTCGATAAATAACACCCACACAAAAACCTACTTGCACGCGCATGTGTGTGTGCAGACACACACACACAACACACACACACACACACACACACTTCAATCCAGCTATATCTCGACAGTGTACTTTCTTACATCACTTACTATTCTAAAAATACTTATTTTCCTTAAGTAGAAATGTTGTACTCAACTGAGTAGAAACTATTCTACTATTGAGTAGAAAGTATTCTACTATTGTACAAGGTTCTATAGCCTAAAAGGGTCTTAAGTTCAGTAGTTACAGTTACATACAACTAGATGCTGTACAACAGAAACATATTATATAATGTATCTCTGTTCAATAAAGTGACGGTGCTGGATTTCAACTCCAGGGATATCCCTTATTTACAATAATTTTGGGATATATTGGGGAAAATATATATCCCACATATATTTGGATATATTTGGAGAGAATATAACTCAAGAGAAACTGTACTGTACATAAATATTTCTTACTGCAAATAGAACAGATTAATATGAACTCTCCCTTACGACGTAAAGCTAAAGGAATAGACTCACGATTAGCACGCCATGCTTTCTTACACTTTGCGAGAAGTAATGGCTGGCATGAGAGCATCACTGGTTGGTCAAGTCACTACAGTGCACTCTGCTAAAACAAAAATGTCCTCCTCTTCTTTGATTCTTGCCGCTTCACTGAATGGTTGAAAAACCGAACCAGTCTAAGTGAGAGCGATATGTCGATAAACTTCTCCATGTCAATATTCTCTTCAAATATGTACAGCCAGCACACATGGAATCCTGTCGCACATCCATCCTAACTTAAAACACCTTAAACAATGTGTATAATATTTATATCCAAACTGTACAAAGAGTAAGAAAATAACCCAATCCTATTGGCTATCAATCGCCGTTAGCCAATCATCTTCTCTCAGTCAGTTAGCAGCTTATACATCGACGTTGATGATAATACAGTTTAGTTTATCCAAACCAATGTCTTCAGTTTACCTGGCAACAGAAAGCTAACAGGAAGCAGTCACTACTACTTCCTGTTTGGTTGACCTTTGACCTCACCATGTTCCAATGGGACTTTCTCTTACACCTTCTCTTCTCCAGCCAAAAACAGACGAACTCAAATCTCCGTTCATCTTTCGCTTGTATTGCACCAAAGATAAATTAAATAACTATTATTTCAAGATAAACATCCACTCGAGGGTTGCACGAGCAGACAGGGAGCAAAGACCTGTGGCAAAGACATCCTCCGGGAGCGAAAGCAGGAGGAGGAGGAGGAGGAAGAGAACGATGATCAGAGGATCTCGCGGCACATGGGCAGGTTGACGAAGATGAAGACGTTGAACTCGATGAGGACGGAGAAACATACGAAGACGGCGTACATGAGGAGACAGGTCAGACCCAGTCGACGGTCCAGAGTCCATTTGTTTAAGTGGACGCCCAGCACCTGAGGACAGAGGAAGAGAGGAGTAGGGAAAGGAGAGCGAGAGTAAACATAGTGCACTACATTTCTGTGTGCTTCATAGATAGACCATAGAGAGGGATAGGTTATAGGAGGTATTCTACGTAGGTTACAGGTGAAAATATTAGCCCAACACACTGGTTTATAGACAGTTGTTTTAAAATAATGTTGAAGCTAGTATTGGGGTTAGGCTGATCCGAGTACAGCCTGTACTCACTGTGAGGAACACTGAGGCCAGGAGCAGCGCAACAGAGAAGATCAATCCTCTACTGTTCAGAGAGATCTGAAGAGGACACAGAACCACGTGATCAGCTATCAGCCAGTTATCAGTCAACTCTGCTCTAAGCCTGTCTACAATGTTGGGCAATAGTCAAATAAAAACATGGGTGATAGCAGGAATACTCACTGTTGATCCATAGTCAATGCAGAGGGTCTGTAAAAGCCAGGGCAGACCCAGGCCCACCAGAATATCAAACACATTACTGCCTATAGAGTTAGAGATGGCCATGTCTCCCAGACCTAGACAGAAAAGAAAAATCTATCGTAATATATTGTATTATAACACCGTACTTTGTGTGTGCAGTATTGTAGTTCAATATCTCTGTGTAACCTTATAAAAAGACGAGAGTTGTGGGGTTGGTTTTGATGGAGTGGTCTCCGTGTGTGTCTCTCCCTACTGTACCTTGGCGTGCCACGATGAGGCTGGCCATGCAGTCTGGAACACTAGTCCCCGCCGCCAGGAACGTGATGCCCATGATGACATCAGGGATGCCAAGCGTGTACCCAATCACAGTCACCTATAGTCAATGACAACATGGCAGTCGTATCATTAGAATTGTAACCAAGGCTAGAATGGAACCGTCACACATAGCATTTTTTTGCAAGACAAATACCAGACCTCAACCCTGTATTCCCGTTTGAGATGACAGCTGGAGTCAAGGCTAATATGACATTTAGTAAATAAAGGTTGAATAAGAACTCACCATCCAGACCATGATGTAGGAGAAGCCAGCTATCCACATGGTGGAGGTGACGAAGGACACCATGAACCATCTCTCCCAGCGTGGCTTGGCACAGTTAGGGATGGTTAAGAAGAGGAGCAGGCACAGAGGCCAGCACAGCAACCACTTCATCTTGTTACACACACCCGCTGGAGGAGAGGGAGAGGGAAAGGGAGAGAGACAGTGAGAGAGAGACGGAGAGAGAGAGAGAGACAGAGAGAGCGAGAGAGAGAGAAAATGAGTGTCAGTGAATTTAAATGTGTAAAACATAGAATAAAGAAAATAGGCAGATAACATGATCACACACCTGGTGGTCTGTGAGGGACCAGAGGTCCTTCGTCCTCCTCCTCCTCTTCCTCCTCTCCTCCATCGTTCTCATTATTGTCATTATCCTCGTTCTCCGTCTCATTCTCCGTCTCCAGGACCTCCTGACCTCCGCATCTCCCGTTCAGCCCTCTCTCGGCCCCGCCCGTCCTGCCGTTCTCCAGACCCCGCCTCTCCGGAGCCCTGGCGGCTGCAGAGTCTGAGTCTCCGTTGGTGATGTGTTGGTTGACCCTGGTCTCACTGGTGTTGATCACCCTCTGTCTCTGCACACACACACAATACAGTGTCAATGAGAGAGTGTGTGTGTGTGTGTGTGTGTGTGTGTGTGTGTGTGTGTGTGTGTGTGTGTGTGTGTGTGTGTGTGTGTGTGTGTGAGGAGGTGGGGGGGTGTAAGTGTCCAATTCATACGTGTGTGTGAGTGTCTGTGTTACCCTAATCTTACCTCATTGATTAGCATGCGTGAAGCCATGGTGAGTCGTGTCCTGGGAGAGAAGTGACTGGTGATCATGATCCTCATGCCAGCCTCAGAGAAGGACAGCTGGTGGGGGTAGGCTGACAGTAGCTCATCCACCATCAGCACACTGGGCTTACACTGGAAGTTAGCTATGGGGACAGACACAAAATGGCCGCCTGGTTATTTCTTCTCTAATAGTTTATCAATGAGAGAAGGAGAGCTGGTGGGGGTAGGCTGACAGTAGCACATCCACCATCAGCACACTGGGCTTACACTGGAAGTTAGCTATGAGGACAGTCACAAAATGGCTACTGTTATCACTAACAGACTGGTGACACATTAAACTAATACATACAAATGTGTGTACCGTCCACTGAGTGCCTTAAAGGGATACTTCAGGATTTTGGCAATGAAGCCCTTTATCTACTTCCCCAGAGTCAGATTAACTGTTGTCTCTCAGGATCATGATGTACTCCTGAGTGGCGCAGTGGTCTAAGGCACTGCATCGCAGTGCTAACTGTGACACTAGATCCTGGTTCGAATCCAGGCTCTGTCGCAGCCGGCCGCGACCGGGAGACTCATGGGCGGCGCACAATTGGCCCAGCGTCGTCCAGGGTAGGGGAGGGAATGGCTGGCAGGGATGTAGCTCAGTTGATAGAGCATGGCGTTTGCAATGCCAGGGTTGTGGGTTCGATTCCCACGGGGGGCCAGTATAAAAAAACATGTATTCACTAACTGTAAATCGCTCTGGATAAGAGCGTCTGCTAAATGACTCAAATGTAAATGTAATGTAAAAATGTCTCTGTGTCCAGTATGAAGGAAGTTGGAGGTAGTTTCACGAGCCATTGCTAACTAGCATTAGCGCAATGAGCTAACACTAGTTAGCAATTGCGCTAGCGCTCGTTAGCAACTTCCATCAAACTGCACGCAGAGACATAAAAATGGTACCCATAAGTTCATCTGACTCTTGGGAAGTAGATAAAGGGCCTCGCCAAAATCCCGAAGTATCCCTTTAACTCTCCATATCTGAAGATTGATGACCCATGAAACTGAGATACTACAATAGTTCATTTTTCAGTGGAACCACCACAACTATCAAAATCATTTCACTGTAAACTGTATTTCTCTGTATTATACCACAGAAGGTCACACTTTATTTGGATAGTTCAGATAGTTTGTTGATAGTATGACTATCTGTTGATAAGCAACTGCTTGCTAAAGGTTACGGTTAGGTTAGGTTTAGAATAAGGGTTAGGGTAAGGGTTAAGGTAAAGGGTTAAGGTTAAGGTTAGTAGATAGTTAGTTGAGCTGTTACTGATAGTCTGTAGATAGTCCATCTGTAGATGCTCTAAAGACTATCTAAATAAAGTGTTGCCCCACAGAAGCCTGATAATGTGATGTCATATCTGTGTGCCACCAGCTTAGGTACCTTTCTTGAGCAGGACAGCGGTGGCATCACAGGTGACGTTGTCCTCCAGGTCAGTGCTGCCCGTCAGACCGTTGGCCAGACTCACGGAACTCTTCTTCCGCCGGTCAAAGTAGCGCCTCGCTCGGCCGTTAAACCTACATACACAAGTGATGAAAATTCAGTTCAGAGATAATGATAATTGAGTTGAAAGTATACAAGAGTTTACAAAAGTATGCAGACTGTCCTGTGAGTAACAGTGTAATACATTTGCCTCTGATTGTACAGTATCTAAATGACTTAGGATAGATGAATAGTTCTTGGTCCAGATGGGAAGTGGGTGTGTGATAATGTGACCACCAGATGATGATCATACTCACTTCATGATTAGAATGTAGAAGAGGTACATCACGTTCAGGACTAGAGACTCCCACCTTCAATACAATATAGAATAGAATGAATCCAACTTTATTGTCCATGTGTTACAGCGAACAATGGAAATGTGTCTTCTGCTCTGTTCTCAAGCCCTCACCCCTAGACGGCACACATTACACGTACAGTTGAGACGAGCACAGGATAATCTATTCAAAATACACCACCGGAGAGACTTATCAACTGATTATCAAGCAGCTGAATATCAAGAGAAATACATTTTGACATACCATGTAACCTCCCCGTCGTAGATAAACTGTGAGGAGAAAGAGAGGGATTGATAATATTTAGGAAAAGGGAGAGATGTGACAACACAATCTCCCTGCATTTCCAGTACTGATTATTAAAGCAATGCTATATCTATGTTCACCACCAGAGGGCATGCCCACTCCAGAGCCTTTCTCCATGACAGAACCAGGACAAAAATACATGTTACTCAACATCTGATTCATTACAGTCTAACTCAGCCAATGTCAAGTGGAAAAATACAGTACTTTTCTTTTTGCAATGACGCATGTGGATGTATGTGCTGTGTGATTATGCTTCATTCTAAAAGCCTAACATACATATAATAGCAGTTTGGTATTTGTTGTCATGATTGTTGCCCTGGAGGCAGCTCTGCAGAGTGGTCACTAGCTGGCACAGCCACAAAGTCATCAAATCTGATTTTAAACCTAACCTTAACCACACTGCTAACCTTAAATTAACACCAAATAGATAATTTGTCTTTTCATTAATTTTTACGATATAGACCACATTGACTTTGCAGCTGTCCTATCTAGGGGACAGATCGAAATGTACTGGGGGAAGGGGCTGGTCCCCCCCAAAAAAATGCCCCCCCCAACATAAAAAACATATTTTTACATGACCCTCCCCTTGTACTGTAAAATAAATCTAACACCCTCCCCCCTCATAGAATTAACTCCAAATAATGTTTACGACCTAAGATAAAAATACCTGTAGCCACTGTGTGCTTTTAAATGTGGATATGGACTTTGCCACTTCAGCATGCTTTTGTGGCACAGTCGATGCCACACAGGGCTACGGGCCAGAAGGTTGAGGGTTCGCCGACCACCACAGACGAGCTCACTCTCCCTGCCTGTTTCATTACACTACGATCAGAGCCGGCTGCAGACAATGATCAGCTAAAGGGAAATCAGATTTTCAACATTTTGATGCCATATTTATATTAATGCAATGCATTTTCCACCAACAGGATTCTGTGCCAATGCACCACACAACTAATAAACAAAGCATACCGACTTCGGGCACTTCAAAATCATGGTTTGTGTTTTCAACACCACAATAAATAGACTATGTCAATCTCGACAAACAGAAAATACATCCCTCCCTAGCTTGTAGGCATTCCCAGTATCGAAGGCTTGGCTTGACAATCTCCGAATGTCATTAAACTTTTTGGTGCTTTGTAACAGATGTCTATTTCCATTCATCAATTGGCCGCTGCACAGTTTGGATTGATTGATTTAATTTGTCAAAAAAATATATACATATATACACAAATATTTTTTTTAAGTGACCAGGATTGCACAATAAAGTCGGGGACTTATTTCCATTATGGTCCCTATTTTTTAAAACATAAATACATGTACAATTACATTGATAGAGACAAAAAAATGTTCAACCTCCAGATGAGTATGATGGTGGAGTTTAAGTACAATTCTTACAAGTTTGTTTGGCTGCTAGTTTATTCTTTAGATGTTTGGGGCTGCTGGTGAACCATGATGTGCAGGAATAATCAAAGTGACACTGGACTAGCGCATTTGCCAGAGTCTTTAGGGTGTCTATAGCTAGGTTTCAATCCAATTGGTGACAGATTTTCATGCAAATATTCTAAAATCTTCATAAAAACAATGTGCCATTTCAGAGTTTCCTTTAGGAAAATTTGGCAGCAGACAACATGACAGGGAAGATTTTAATTTACTGGACATTTGCGAATTTTAACGGACATCCATATGCATTCAGATCCAACCTGGCGCCATCAATAAACAAGGAATGTTGGCCAAATGAGCCACATTTACGTGTCCTTAAAAACAGCTATAACAAATTACAAAAACACTATTTCTTGTGTTTCGATGTGTAGCATATGCAAAACCTTATTTTTTTATTGGTTTTTAGGCTAATTCCTAAAATAATAATTGTCCACCTCATGGTTCAGCTGTCAGAGATTTTAACACAAAATGTATCAGGGCATTGCATGCATAGGCCTATAGACTTAGGTGTCCACTGTATAATATTAATATTTTAATAAATAAATAAATAAATAAATAAATAAATATATATATATATATATATATATATATATATATATATATATATATATATATACACACACAGTGGGGAGAACAAGTATTTGATACACTGCCAATTTTGCAGGTTTTCCTACTTACAAAGCATGTAGAGGTCTGTAATTTTTATCATAGTTACACTTCAACTGTGAGAGACGGAATCTAAAACAAAAATCCAGAAAATCACATTGTATGATTTTTAAGTAAATAATTTGCATTTTATTGCATGTCATAAGTATTTGATACATCAGAAAAGCAGAACTTAATATTTGGTACAGAAACCTTTGTTTGCAATTACAGAGATCATACGTTTCCTGTAGGTCTTGATCAGGTTTGCACACACTGCAGCGGGGTTTTTGGCCCACTCCTCCATACAGACCTTCTCCAGATCCTTCAGGTTTCGGGGCTGTTGCTGGGCAATACGGACTTTCAGCTCCCTCCAAAGATTTTCTATTGGTTTCAGGTCTGGAGACTGGCTAGGCCACTCCAGGACCTTGAGATGCTTCTTACGGAGCCACTCCTTAGTTGCCCTGGCTGTGTGTTTTGGGTCATTGTCATGCTGGAAGACCCAGCCACAACCCATCTTCAATGCTCTTACTGAGGGAAGGAGGTTGATGGCCAAGATCTCGCGATACATGGCCCCATCCATCCTCCCGTCAATACGGTGCAGTCATCCTGTCCCCTTTGCAGAAAAGCATCCCCAAAGAATGATGTTTCCACCTCCATGCTTCACAGTTGGGATGGTGTTCTTGGGGTTGTACTCATCCTTCTTCTTCCTCCAAACACGGCGAGTGGAGTTTAGACCAAAAAGCTCTATTTTTGTCTCATCAGACCACATGACCTTCTCCCATTCCTCCTCTGGATCATCCAGATGGTCATTGGCAAACTTCAGACGGGCCTGGACATGCGCTGGCTTGAGCAGGGGGACCTTGCGTGCGCTACAGGATTTTAATCCATGATCGCGTAGTGTGTTACTAATGGTTTTCTTTGAGACTGTGGTCCCAGCTCTCTTCAGGTCATTGACCAGTTCCTGCCGTGTAGTTCTGGGCTGATCCCTCACCTTCCTCGTGATCATTGATGCAGTTAATACAGGTAATGAGTGGAGAACAGGAGGGCTTCTTAAAGAAAAACTAACAGGTCTGTGAGAGACGGAATTCTTACTGGTTGGTAGGTGATCAAATACTTATGTCAGGCAATAAAATGCAAATTAATTACTTAAAAATCATACAATGTGATTTTCTGGATTTTTTGTTTTAGATTCCGTCTCTCACAGTTTAAGTGTACCTATGATAAAAATTACAGACCTCTACATGCTTTGTAAGTAGGAAAACCTGCAAAATCGGCAGTGTATCAAATACTTGTTCTCCCCACTGTATATATATATATAGCCTATATAAAGGAAGAGAAGCTTAGGCCTAACCCCAGAGAGATAGAGATGCATTTATTTATGTCAGATGGCTACTGCGTCTTCTATACAGATATAGGCGTACAGAAGGAGGCTAATTCGGGAATTTTCGATCAGACTATTTTGTATAAAGATAAGCATTATACCGTTAGATTATAGGAGTAACTCTGGTAGGCCTAAAACATTCTTCCTCACCGCAAGTTCAACTGTCAGAGTCAGTTGGAGAGCCGGGGCACACTGCCTTCATATCATAGGCCTGCAGTAGCTAAAGGTTAATAATAGCCACACCACACCAAACCTTCACAAATGTTTCTAAACTTTATTAGGGTAATATCAAAAGTAAGTTAAGCCATTGTTTATAGGGAAAATACGAGCAGAAGAAGGAATGTAAACCAGGGGGGAAAAAACGCACTACCCTCCCCTCTGCCCCCCCCCAAAACGCACTACCCTCCCCTCTGCCCCCCCCAAAAAACACACAACCCTCCCCAAAGCAAAATAAATACGTTTGACAACCCTCCCCTATTTTGAACCACCCATCCCCCCAGTCAATTTCAATCTGTCCCTAGCGGAAATCGCTCAGTTCTGCCTCCGGGGCAAAATTCATGACAATAAATGTAAACCTGCATTATAATAACACCGTGTATGGTTCAGTGTAATGTGGATGTCCTTTATCTATGTCAGTCAGACCCAGTGTTGTGTTAATTGGGAGGAGTGATGTGTGATGAGTCTGTCTGCACATCAGAGCAGGGTTATCAGACAGACTGGTCCAGCTGATGTTCTGTCTCGAGCTAAACTCTCTCTACCAGACAGACTGGTCCAGCTGATGTTCGTTCTCTCTCTCTCTCTCTCTCTCTCTCTCTCTCTCTGTAAGGCAGGGAGAACTCAGGTGTTGGCACACTGCTTGTGTGTGTATCCGTGCGTGTGTGTGTGTGTGTATCCGTGCGTGTATCTGTGTGTGTGTGTGTATCTGTGCGTGTGTGTGTGTATGTAGTTGGCCACTTACTGCAATGAGGGCAGCGATAGAGAGCGTGTAGTAGGCGGAGTCTCTGAGTAGTGTCCAATGGGAGAGCTTCACAGCCTGACAGATGGAGAGAAGACAAACAGACAGACAGACAGACAGACAGACAGGAGACACAAAAAGACACAGCATTATTACATTGATAATCTGCAGTCAAGTATACCCTCATGATAGCACTTTATATTGCTTGCGGTTCGGCACAACAATAGCAATTATAGCTCCAGCTCCCTCATAAGCATACCGAGATACACGAAGAGCTCGAGTTGACCTGAATAGATCACACTACGTACAAAAGACAAGTAGGCAGCACTCACCTACTCCAAAAAGGTGTTGGTGTATCCATTGATTTTACATAATGATATGCAGCACAGGCAGCCTACCACACAGTGACTAATGCATTATAGAACCTGCATTTATTTAGCATGCAAATCAACCCACACACACTACTACAGTGAAACACATATCTTCCTTAGAGAAACACAGTCAAGCCTAGTCCCAGATCTGTTTGTGCTGTAGAGCAAACTCCTATAGTCATGTCATGCTAGACAGCACCAACAGATCTGGGATCAGGCTATCCAAAATGAGAAACACATAGCCAAAGCCTGGTCCCAGATCTGTTTGTGCTTTAGAGCCACAATAGACCATAGGAGTTAGCAAGATGGTACAAACTGATCTGGGACCAGGCCAAACTCTACTAGATCAACAATAGTAATACACTGTTTCCTGGCAGTTTTAAGATGACTTTACATTAATACACTGTTTCCTGGCAGTAGGCCTTTACTTCATTACATAATGAAGTAAAGGCCTGCACCCTATTCCCTATATAGTGAACTACTTTTGACCAGGGCCCATGGTCAAGACTAGTGCACTATGTAGGGAATAGGGTGCCATTTGGGACTCATCCTATGTATTTATTCAAGTCCTTATTTTATTTTTTTACAGTGAGCTTATCCTTCGTTCCATGTGAGCCCTGTCATGTAATGTTATGTCAAATGATTCCATCAGTGAATATATCCTGTTTGACTCAGGCTTACCACAGCATGGTGCAGGGATATGGACAGGGAGAATACATGTTACAGTAGGCCAGTAAGGCAGGCTATGGCTGTACAGATGTGATACTGTAAACGCACATATGGTCATTTCATATTCATTATTTATGGTGTACTGTACGTGCAAATGTATATGTACTGAATTTGTATACAGTATGGAGAATACGTTATTATGGGTATTCTTGGACAACAGATATGGACACTGTATGTAGCCTATATTTACGGTACCAGTCAAAAGTTTGGACACACCTACTCATTCAAGGGTTTTTATTTATTTTTTACTATTTCCTACATTGTAGAATAATAGTGAAGACATCAACACTGAAATAACACATATGGAATCATGTAGTAACCAAAAAAGTGTTAAACAAATGAATATATTTTATATTTGAGATACTTCAAATAGCCACCCTTTGCCTTGATGACAGCTTTGCGCAC